GGCACAGGAGGTACTCCTGCCAGGCCTGAGCTGAGCTGGCCCTGCAGAGCCTGGGGTCAGTGTTAATGGGGCCCGAGGGCGCCTGTAAACCCACAGCAATGACCATTTGGGCCTTGGGCTTCATGCCAGAGCCGGCTGCATTCTTCCTCGGGGAAGGTGGAGGACACTGGAAAAACCAGTTAGGGCGTGGGAGTCTCCATTTCGTGTAGCTGTCAGGGGAGTGTTGGCTCAGGAGCCCGGAAATGTTATGTGAAAAATCTGGCTTTTTCAGAAAGGTCCTGGTGTCGGTTCAGATCAGCAAGACCCTTCAGAACCAGCACGAGGGCAGGGCGGGAGTTTGGGGTCTGTGCCTTTTCCTTCTGACGGGATGTGTCCAGCAGGGCGACCTGAGCGGTTTTCATGGTCCTGGCCTGAATGGAGAGGAAGCCAGGGCTGGTAGAAGCCAGCTGGACAAGTCCTGCCTTCCTGAAGGGAGAAGGGAGCTTCACTGAGTGGGCATCTCTGAGCCCAGCCAGCATTGTGTCCATGACCACACCACTGGGTCCCTCTGCTCATCTCCCAGGATTCACATGGCATTTGGCATGTGGTTGTTGCTCAGCAAATACTTGGAATGAATGATTGATTCCAGAGTGTCTGTCCATTATGTTATTCATTGAGGGGAGGGCTATATATATATTCATTGAGGGGAGTTTCATGGGGTTGCTTTAACAAGAGAACTACAAACATGTTGGCTTAAAACAAAGCAGAAATTTATTCTATCCCAGTTCTGGAGGCCAGAAGTCGGGAATCCGCCACAGCCGTGGGGGCTTTAGGAGAGAATTCGTTCTTTGCGTCTTCTGGCTTCGGGTGGCTCCAGGCACTCCTTGGCTTCTGGCCTCATCAGTCCAGTCTCTGCTCCATGGTTCCCTGCTCCCATGGTTCCCTGCTCCATGGTTCCCTGCTCCCATGGTTCCCTGCTCCAAGGTTCCCTGCTCCCATGGTTCCCTGCTCCATGGTTCCCTGCTCCCATGGTTCCCTGCTCCCATGGTTCTCTGCTCCATGGTTCCCTGCTGCCATGGTTCTCTGCTCCATGGTTCCCTGCTGCCATGGTTCTCTGCTCCCATGGTTCTCTGCTCCCATGGTTCCCTGCTCCATGGTTCCCTGCTCCAAGGTTCCCTGCTCCCATGGTTCCCTGCTCCATGGTCCCCTGCTCCCATGGTTCCCTGCTCCCATGCTTCCCTGCTCCATGGTTCCCTGCTCCCATGGCTCCCTGCTCCCATGGCTCCCTGCTCCATGGTTCCCTGCTCCCATGATTCTCTGCTCCATGGTTCCCTGCTCCCATGGTTCCCTGCTCCCATGGTTCCCTCCTCCATGGTTCCCTGCTGCCATGGTTCTCTGCTCCATGGTTCCCTGCTGCCATGGTTCTCTGCTCCATGGTTCCCTGCTCCCATGGTTCTCTGCTCCATGGTTCCCTGCTCCCATGGTTCTCTGCTCCATGGTTCCCTGCTCCCATGGTTCCCTGCTCCCATGGTTCCCTGCTGCCATGGTTCTCTGCTCCATGGTTCCCTGCTCCCATGGTTCTCTGCTCCATGGTTCCCTGCTCCATGGTCCCCTGCTCCCATGGTTCCCTGCTCCCATGCTTCCCTGCTCCATGGTTCCCTGCTCCCATGGTTCTCTGCTCCCATGGCTCCCTGCTCCATGGTTCCCTGCTCCCATGGTTCTCTGCTCCCATGGTTCTCTGCTCCCATGGCTCCCTGCTCCATGGTTCCCTGCTCCCATGGTTCTCTGCTCCCATGGTTCTCTGCTCCATGGTTCTCTGCTCCATGGTTCTCTGCTCCCATGGTTCTCTGCTCCATGGTTCTCTGCTCCCATGGTTCTCTGCTCCATGGTTCCCTGCTCCCATGGTTCCCTGCTCCCATGGTTCCCTGCTCCATGGTTCCCTGCTCCATGGTTCCCTGCTCCCATGGTTCCCTGCTCCATGGTTCCCTGCTCCATGGTTCCCTGCTGCCATGGTTCTCTGCTCCATGGTTCCCTGCTCCCATGGTGCCCTGCTCCCATGGTGCCCTGCTCCATGGTTCCCTGCTGCCATGGTTCTTTGCTCCATGGTTCTCTGCTCCCATGGTTCCCTGCTCCATGGTTCCCTGCTGCCATGGTTCTCTGCTGCCATGGTTCCCTGCTGCCATGGTTCCCTGCTCCCATGGTTCCCTGCTCCTATGGTTCCCTGCTCCATGGTTCCCTGCTCCCATGGTTCTCTGCTCCCATGGTTCTCTGCTCCATGGTTCCCTGCTGCCATGGTTCTCTGCTCCATGGTTCCCTGCTCCCATGGTTCTCTGCTCCCATGGTTCCCTGCTCCATGGTTCCCTGCTCCCATGGTTCTCTGCTCCCATGGTTCTCTGCTCCATGGTTCCCTGCTGCCATGGTTCTCTGCTCCATGGTTCCCTGCTGCCATGGTTCTCTGCTCCCATGGTTCTCTGCTCCCATGGTTCCCTGCTCCATGGTTCCCTGCTCCCATGGTTCTCTGCTCCCATGGTTCCCTGCTGCCATGGTTCTCTGCTCCATGGTTCCCTGCTCCATGGTTCCCTGCTCCATGGTTCCCTGCTCCCATGGCTCCCTGCTCCCATGGCTCCCTGCTCCATGGTTCCCTGCTCCCATGATTCTCTGCTCCCATGGTTCCCTGCTCCATGGTTCCCTGCTCCCATGGTTCCCTCCTCCATGGTTCCCTGCTCCCATGGTTCTCTGCTCCATGGTTCCCTGCTGCCATGGTTCTCTGCTCCATGGTTCCCTGCTCCCATGGTTCTCTGCTCCATGGTTCCCTGCTCCATGGTTCCCTGCTCCCATGGCTCCCTGCTCCCATGGCTCCCTGCTCCATGGTTCCCTGCTCCCATGATTCTCTGCTCCCATGGTTCCCTGCTCCATGGTTCCCTGCTCCCATGGTTCCCTCCTCCATGGTTCCCTGCTCCATGGTTCCCTGCTCCATGGTTCCCTGCTCCATGGTTCCCTGCTCCCATGGCTCCCTGCTCCCATGGCTCCCTGCTCCATGGTTCCCTGCTCCCATGATTCTCTGCTCCCATGGTTCCCTGCTCCATGGTTCCTTGCTCCCATGGTTCCCTCCTCCATGGCTCCCTGCTCCCATGGCTCCCTGCTCCATGGTTCCCTGCTCCCATGATTCTCTGCTCCATGGTTCCCTGCTCCCATGGTTCCCTCCTCCATGGTTCCCTGCTCCCATGGTTCTCTGCTCCATGGTTCCCTGCTGCCATGGCTCTCTGCTCCATGGTTCCCTGCTCCCATGGTTCTCTGCTCCATGGTTCCCTGCTCCCATGGTTCTCTGCTCCATGGTTCCCTGCTCCCATGGTTCCCTGCTCCCATGGTTCCCTGCTGCCATGGTTCTCTGCTCCATGGTTCTCTGCTCCATGGTTCTCTGCTCCATGGTTCCCTGCTCCCATGGTTCCCTGCTCCCATGGTTCTCTGCTCCATGGTTCCCTGCTCCCATGGTTCCCTGCTCCGTGGTTCCCTGATCCTTCTCTTCTCTGTGTCCTCTTACAAGGGCACTTGTCATTGGATGGAGGGACCTCCAGAACAAACCAGGATCATCTCTCCTCACCTCAACATCCTTAACTTAATTGCATCTGCAAAAACTTTTTCCAAAGCAAAGATAACATTCACAGGTTCTGGAGTTTAGGGTATGGACATATCTTTTGGGGGCTACAATTCAACCCACTCCAGGGAATCTTAATATTTGTCTAATCATTGCTTTTTTAGATATATATAACAAACCCTGTTAACCACTGGGTTTGTGCTGCTCCTAGATGCATATATATCTATATCTGTGTCTTTCTCTATATTAGGTTTCTTTTTCTTTCATTGATTTAGGTTCAGTCCTTCCCCATTGAGTGTCTGATAAACAGTCATTCATGTTAACACAAAACTCTAGGAAATTAACTTTTTAATCTAGTGCTAACTTGGATTAAATCTGTGAAACCCAGGGAAACCTGAGTGAGGTCTGGGTTTAGTTAATTGCACTGTGCCATGGTCAGTTTTGATAATGTACCATAGTGAACTCAGGTGCCACCCCTGGGGGAAGCTAGGGGATGATACTCAGGACTTTTGTGTACTATTTTTGTAACTTCTTGTGAGCCTAAAAATAAAAATTTTAGCAGAGTTTGATTGGATTTACCAAGACCAATGATAAAATCATCTGTTCTTTCTTATTTGCAACACATCCATTGTTAAGCTGCAATGTGTAGCGAAGTGTTTTAGAGCTGTCGCTGAACTTGATTTGGAAAACGTTGACATTGTTTGATAGGTGGTCTTTCTGTCTAGGAATGTCTTGTCTTGTATTTTTTCAAGGTATGTTTTATCTTCCAGTAAAATGTGTGGAGTTTTCTTCAGGGAACTCATAGATACTTTAAAGTTTGAGGTTTTAAGTTTGTTCTTATGAATGTATCTTTCCCCCATCTGTATTCTTTAACTGGCTCTTGCTGGTTACATGTCACTGAACAGAATCCCCACACCTTTCAAATACGTGAAATTCTTTTAGCTTGAGAAAATTCTCTTCATTCTGCAGCTAGAGACAATGTGTAACAGGTTTTTATTCGTTCCTTTAAACCTGCTCTCAGAAAGGGTCCATCTGTTCAGTTATTAAATGTAGATTTAAGTATTTGTGTTCTCCATTCGAGTGTATGGGAGATGTTCTTTATAAAAAAATACAAAGTGGTGCTCTGTAAATGTAATGCTAACTGTATTGTTTTGGATTCTGTCTTTGAAAGCTGTAGAGGTGCTGACTCTCTCAGCACCAGGGGTCATGTGCATTACCTGGGGGGCCCTAGGTCCCTTGCCAGGTCAGATGGACAAATGGGGTGTCCTGTCCGTAGTGTGATCTGAACTTTTCTTGTCCCTGGCTTTTCTTCTCTGCTTTGATCGCAGAGCCATGAGGCCTGGGTGGGCATTGAGAAGGCCTCTAGCTTGGCGAAGCCCCAAATTTGAAAACAGAAGTGGAAAATGTACCATTAACCTCCCTCCAGGTCAGTCTTATGAAATCCGACTGCTGGAGAACAGGAAACTGGGAGATTTTCAGGATCTGAACACAAAATATGTGAAGGTAAGGCTCCAGTCTGCACCTTGCCTGGGCACCTGGGGGTGCTTTCTTGGGGGCCTAATTAATACCTGGGCTTGCAGTCGGGATCAGGAGTGCCTGGGAGGTTTGGGAAAGGCTCCAGGGACAGAGGTGGGCTCCAGGTCCCTGGAGCGTGTGGTCTGAGGGGCCTTGGTCAGGCCGGCAGTGCTGGGAGCTGATGGCCGGGTCGTACAGACTCTGGTTGCAGCCTGGCTCTGCCTCTTCCCAGTGTTTTCTGGGCCTCAGGTTGCTCACCTGCACAGAAGGTTTGTAAATGACCCATGTGTGCAAAGCACACAGCAGCCCCTTGAGAGCAGGGCATCCCTTGCTGTTTGTGCTGTTGTTCGTATTGTTGGGGTTCCAAGGAGGGACGGGTGACATGAGGGGCTCGGGAGAAAGGCCTCAGGCCTCGGGCCTCGGAGGAAGAGAGGTCTGTCTGATGGGGGGAGGGTCAGGGTAGGTTCCCGCGGGCCCCTCTGGGCCCTGCACTCACTGTTCCCCCCCCCGCCCCCGCCACCCCACCCTGGCCCCCAGAGCATCATCCGCGTGCTGTTTCACGACCGCCGCCTGCAGTACACGGAGCACCAGCAGCTGGAGGGCTGGCGGTGGAGCCGGCCCGGGGACCGGATCCTGGACATCGGTGGGTTTCTGGGCTGAGTGGCGGTTCTTCCTGGGCCCCATCTGGACCCAGCTGTGTGCAGGGCCTCTTGCCACACTTCTGCCCTGTGTGAAACCCCATGGGAGATGGTGGAGGTGACCACAGCATCAGCCCTGCCCTCAGCGAGTACCCCTTTTGGGGTGTACATGGTGGGGGTGCGTTTAGGAATAAGGACCTGTCGTCAGGAAGTGAGAAGCAGGGAAGCCTTCACAGAAGGATCCTGACTTGATGGAGGGCAGGGTGGGCATCAGAGAGGGGGCAACGGAAATGCGCCGAGGGCTCAGGCAGTGGTCCACAGGCTTCTTATTCACAAAACTTGGGGCCAGGTGGGTTTTGGAATTCAGAAGTTGGAATAACAGTAGGCTGTGTCGACCCACAGTCAGGTCACACTGCCAACAGGCCATGTTCTTGTAGCCATATAGAGTGACGACAGGCAATGGAGCGAAGGCTCGGAATAGCTTCATGGAGATTCAAGTCAGAATTCTGCCAAATGAGCTTTGCAGAACCTAGCTTTCAGAACCCTTGGCGTTTCAAATTGTGTAAGGAGTTTCGACCTGTAATAGGAGTCCTTCCCGAAATATTGGGAGTGGCTGACGATTGCACTTTTGTGTGTGTGTATGTGTGCACAGATATTCCACTGTCTGTTGGTATCTTGGACCCCAGGGCCAGCCCGACCCAGCTGAATGCAGTCGAGTTTTTGTGGGATCCTTCAAAGAGAGCGTCTGCGTTCATTCAGGTGAGCAGGAAGGAGGTTGCCCTCTGTGGGGAAGTCAGAACTTTGGGGGTCCACCGTGTTGTTTCTCAAAACCATCCATGCGTGGGGCCTTGATGGCTTTTGCCCTTGGCTGCAGGCAAGGAGGCTGAGAGGGAGGGTGAGTGGGGCTCAGAGCCATGAGACTGGTTGGTCACTGGGGCTAGGAAGAAGATTTGGGATGTTGTAGACTTCTGTGTGGGTGTTTCTTATCAATATGTAAGCTTTTTACCCAGTAACTGGGTCCTAGCATAAATAATTTGAAGTACAATTTTTTTTTCATAACTGTTTCTATTATTAAATGTTTAATTCTGAAGCTCCTGGTATGAAAGTGAAAGTCTTAGTTGCTCAATTGTGTCTGACTCTTTGCAACCCCATGTACTGTATATCCCGCCAGGTTCCTCCATCCATAGGATTCTCCAGGCAAGAATACTGGAGTGGGTTGGCCATTTCCTTCTGCAGGGGATCTTTCCAACTCAGGGATCGAACCCGGGTCTCCTGCATTGCAGGCAGATTCTTTACCACTTGAGCCGCCAGGGAAGCCCATCAGAGCTTCTGCTATGGACCTGCCCTTGTGTCAAGCGCTTCAGCGGACCCAGCTGGCCGGGGGCGTGGCCAGGGCCCTGTGCTTCTGGGCTCCCCGGCTCTCTCACTCACTGTGGGCCCCTTTTTGAGCTTCTTCGTTTTCCTCCCTGTCTTGTAAATCAGAGACTGAAAAAAGAGCCATGACCGCAAGGCCTGGTTCGCAGTAATCACTCAGTGAGAGTGAGCGACCTTTTTGCCTTGCGTAATTACAGTGCTCGAATTGCATTTCAAAAGAAGTAACATAATGTTATTGTTTATTGTTACAACAACATGTATTTGTATTGGGTTAGTCAGAAAGTTTGTTCTGATTTTTAATACCACCTTACGGAAAAAACTGCAACTAACTTTTTCGCCAGCCCAGTATTAGGACAATGTGATTACATTATTATAGCAACCAGTATACATCGCGTGCTTTCTGTGTAGCAGGCACGTACCAGAAGTAAAGAAATGGTTCTAGCTTCTGGCCTGGCCTGAGTAACCTGGGGACTAAGGGACTCGGCTCCTCGGGACTAGCTGTGGCCCCTGCTCTGCGGCCTCTGGGATTTGTCCAGGCAGAGGTCCCGGGGGAGGAAGGAGGGGGAGTTGCTGGGGTCAGTGGGCCTGGAGTAATGGCACGGACTTGGCTGGTCAGGCAGGACCTCCAAGGTCAGAGGATGGAAGTGAGAGGCTGTGGGGGGTGGCCAGTGGCCTGACGGAGTGGCCGGCGCTGGGGGACAGCGGGGAGGTGGAGGCGGGCCTGACTGTGGGGTGGGCACATCTACTGGCGGGGGAGCGCCTGGGGGTTCAGGCCCCCCTCGCCCACCTCTGGCTAACTGCCTGCCGCATCCCCCGCAGGTGCACTGCATCAGCACCGAGTTCACCCCGAGGAAGCACGGGGGTGAGAAGGGGGTGCCCTTCCGGGTGCAGATCGACACCTTCAAGCAGAGTGAAAATGGGGAGTACACGGAGCACTTGCACTCAGCCAGCTGTCAGATCAAGGTGTTCAAGGTAGGACGGCCACCAGCGCCCCGCCCACCGCCACCCCAGCCCAGGTCTGGAGGCCGGGACCCCAGAGCTCAGCGGCGAGTGCAGCGGCCAGGAGCTGGGGCTCCTGCCCCGGCTCTTTCACCCTCGCAGGCGGCTGGTCTCAGCTCTGCCTGGCCAGAGTGGTGGGATGGGCACAGTTGTAGGTTTCAGGTTTCCTCCCAAGCGCGCTGACCACAGATTCTCCTTGACCCCCTTTGAAGGCCCTGACCATGGATGTTATTTTTTAGAATTTTTGTAGCGGTATAGTTAATTTACAAAGTTGTGTTAGTTTCAGATGTACAGCGCAGTGATTCAGTTATATGTTATCAGTTCTTCTCCATTATAGCTTATTACAGAATATTGCGTATAGTGCCCTGGGCGGTACAGTGGTCCTGGTTGGTTATCTGTTTTACACATGTTACTGTGCATCTGTTAATCCCAGGGGATGCTGTTACTTGGGGCCCCAAGGCCCTTGTCCCTCTGCAATGGCCTCCTGGTACCGCCTCCCTTTTCCTTTCTTGCCTCACCCCTGCCGTTGGCTGTCATTCTTTCTCATCCCATCTCTTTGGACAGATTATTTCCTAAGAATGCCTGCCAGTGGCGCAGCCCAGGGTGGCCCTGGGGGGGGGGGCGGTGACAGCAGAGTCACCGGTGGGTGCACCTGCTCCGAGCAGGACCACTGGTCCCTCTGCCAGCAGATCGGACCTGCCTGCCGGCCTGGGGAATCCCAGCAGATACCTGGGACCGGCCCTGGTGCCTTCCCCTCTCCTCCCGGTCTTTCACAGTCAGGGACCTGGGGACTTACCGATAGAGTTTCATCTGCTGGAGCCGGAGATGCCAGAGGGAGGGGCTGCGGAAACGAGGGCCTGTCCCGGAAGAAGCTGGGTCGGTGTTGATGTTCCTGAGCTGGGGATGGATGTGGAAATGAGTGCCCACGGGTGGAACCATCAGCCTGGTGGCAGAGGGCTCATGGGCCTGCTTCCCAACGGGATGGGGCGGCCCTGAAGCTGCCCGTGTCTGTCCCTACGTGACCACACGGCCGGGCAGCCAGCTTCATCCCCACTGGCCGTGTCTGGCCACCTGGGGGCTGTGGCCACCTGGCCAGGCTCTGTGTGCTGGTGCAGGTGAGCTTGTCTCCGCTGCCGGAGCAGTGGCACCTCCAGAAACCTACTTCAGCGTGGTGACGCCTTTAATCTGGCCTCCGAAGGAAGCTACATTTCTCCCCCATATCTATATGCCCCTCCTGATGTTAAAAACAAAAAAAAAAAATTACCAAAGTTGAGTGGCTTAGTACTACATTCTCTTTTAATGTTGAAGTTTGAAACAGGTTTCACTGGGCTGGGGTCAGGCGTCAGGAAGGTTAAATTCCTTTCTGGAGGCCCTAGGGGAGAATCTCTTTCCTTGCCTTCTCCAGCTTCTAGAGGAATCTGCATTCCTTGGCCCGTGGCCCCTCCTCCATCCTCAAAGCTAGCATCACCCCGATCGCTCCATGCTCCCCCCAACACACACTTTAAGCCTCCACGATTACGCTGGGCCCACTGGGATGGTCCAGGCTCCCCTTCCTGTTTTCGTCTCTCACTGTTGGCAATCCCGATTCCGTTTGCAACCTTGCCCTCTTGTGCCCTAGGGTAATGTCCTCCCAGGCTCTGGGAGTTAGGATGGGGCCATCTTTGGAGAGCATTAGTCTGCAGATCCTGTTCACCGGTGCCTCCGGTCTTGGGTCCTTGATTCTGGACAGCTGGACAGCCCTGGACAGCTCTGAGACTGCACAGTGGGTGGTCTCTGCCTGCCCCGCAGTCCCGCCCTCTCTTGGTTGTATGCAGACCACATCCACCAGCCCTCTTCTTCCCTCAGGCAGGGTGCATCCAGTGTAGTGCCCTGGGATCCAGCTCGGGGCCAGGCAGTAGGGGGGGCAGTGTGTGCCAGGGATGCCCAGTCCTCCCCATGGCCCCTGCCAGCCCCCGCTCTTACACCTCAAGGCGGACACTCAGAAATGAGGGCCCTACCTGGCTCCTCAACACCACACCAGGCCTCATTGAGGGAATTGAGCTGGCAGTTGCTTTGGCATCTCCTGCAAGAGGGAAGGAGCATCTGTCACCCAAAATGAAAGTGAAAGCAACAGTGTTAGTGGCTCCGTCGTTTGTCTCCGACTCTTTGCGACCCCGTGGACCGTAGCCCACCAGGCTCCTCTGTCCGTGGAATTCTCCAAGCAAGAATGCTGGAGTGGGTAGCCGTTCCTTTCTCCAGGGAATCTTCCTGACCCAGAGATCCTACCTGGGTCTCCTGCATTTCAGGCAGATTCTTTACCATCTGAGCCACCAGGAAAGCCCTGTCACCTGAAATGAGCTCCTCGGAATCCCTGAGGTGGCCTGGCCGCCCACCCACAGGAGCAGCTGAGATAGGTGTGCAGCAGGGCCAGGCAGAGCCCTGCCTCACTGCCCGCAACTCCCCATCTCAGGTCACCCTGGTTACCAGGAAGCCCCTGGATTCTTGGGTTGCTGCCCTGGGGCTCTGTGGGGATGTCTTAGGACTCTCCCTTTCCTGCCGACTGCTTGCAGGGGTCTCCCTGGGGCTGAGTGGTGTCCCCCACAGGCAGGCTCAGCCATGCTCTGCTGGTGATGCTTCTGGGCCGGGAGGAAGGGACTCCTTTCTGGGACAGGATGGAGGTGGGGCAGAGAAACCAGACGATGGGGGTCCAGCTGCCGCATGCCTGGCTCTCCTGCTGAATACCAGATCTGTCACTCATGTCCCTGTAGGACCCCCAGCAAACCTCCCTCCCTCCAGCCTGGGTGTCCCCCCAAAGGCTATTTCCTAACGCCCCCTGAGTTGGGAGTCAGCAGCTGCAGCCTGAGGAGAGTGCCCGCCAGGATGACCCCAAAGGCACCGTGGAGTGGAAGGGTGGATTTTCTTCCCTGACTGCCCACCTCGTGTGGTCTGCCCCGTGCAGAATAAAACCCTCAGCTCAGGGCCCTTCGGAGTCTTGATATCTGACGCCACCCGCCAGGCTGTGAACTCCGGAGGGGATAGTGTTCGTGGTCCAAATGGTCCCCATCAGCTGGGCCTGCTGGAGCCAGCATGGCGGCTATGCCCAGCTGGGCTCCTGACCTGGAGTCTTGACTTGATCAGCACGTGGTTCCTCTCCATTCTCGATGGAGCACTGGACCCTCAGTCTCCTTAATCTGTAAATGAGGCCGATAGTAGTACCTGTGAGGCCTGGACACCTGTGAATTCCTCAGGTGCGCTGGGCGCCCAAGACAGGCCATGTCAGGATGGATGTTACCCTGCAGGCAGACTGTAAGCTGGGAGTGTGCCCGGAGCCCTAAGTTTTAGGGGCAAGGAGGCCTTAGAGGTGGACCGCAAGTGTAGACAGAGCCCTGGCTAGCAGCTCCTAGGCTCCTAGGAGCAGCTCCTAGCTGCTGTCCGCTTCCTGTCTCTCTCCATGGGGAACCCAAGGAAGGCTCCTGAGGGGTCCTTTCCGTTAGCAAGTGGCCAGTGGTAAAGCTCTGCCCCAAGCGTGCCTGCCGGGGCAGCTGAGCGGACCCCGTGAGTCTCTGAAGGACCAGTAGTGGGCTCTGAGCTCTCTTGGGGTGGGCAAGGGTTCCAGGCAGGAGGACCATGTGTCGGATGCCTGGGAGGTGAGAGACGGGCCTTCCTGTCCACGAGGCCCTGCTTGGGGTGAGGGGCCACCCCTCAGCTCTGGACGTCCCGCAGACAGCTGCCTCTGCCGGCTGTGAGCTCACTGGGCCCCTGTGCTCTAAACTTGCAGCCGAAGGGAGCCGACCGGAAGCAGAAGACAGACCGGGAGAAGATGGAGAAGAGAACAGCCCAAGAGAAGGAGAAGTACCAGCCATCCTATGAGACCACCATCCTCTCAGAGGTGAGCTGGGGGGCCTCCTTCTGGCGGGAGCAAGGGGACTGTTGGCTTAGATCCTGGGACAAGTGCCCGTTTGGGGCGGATGCTGCTTCTGAGAGCGCTGTTCAGCCCCGGTGTGTTCCCGTGTCTGGAACTGCTGTCATCTGAGGCCTGGTGTCCAGGGACATGTTTTACAAGTAAATACCTTCTAACTCTCAGCTGCTGTTGGCACATTTCAAAATTAGGCTTTTTTTTTTTTTAATAGATAATATATTCATGTGGTCCACATTCAAAAGGTATAAGAATCTCCATCAGAAAATGTCCCTCCCAGCACTCTCCAGCCTCGGTCTCTCTCCCCAGGGCGGTAGGTGACCCTGGGTCCTTCTCTATCGGGCCCCACGTTCTCTGAGAAGGAAATCAATTCAAACAAGTTTGCCCCATGGGTGCTTTCTTTCCCCCAACAGTACACGAACACACACACACACACACAGTCACCATTCTAAGGTTGACTATCTTTACTTCCTGGTGTTTCTTACCTGATCATAAAGAGCTTTCCAGTTCTTCATCCAGCTCCATGGCCTTCCGTGTGTGGACGGCCTGCTGGTGGGCAGTGCCTGCTCTCAGGCTCCTGCTGTTTCCCACGGGGTACTGTGAACGCCTTGTTCACGTGAAGTTCTCCACGAGGAAAGAATGTCTGCACCTTCTGCCCTCAGAGGGGGGTGGCTGGGTGCAAGGGGGTAACACTCACTCTCTGGCTGTTGGGGTGGATATTGGGGTGCATTTCCTCATCACCCAGATGCCGACACCAGCCTGCTCTGTCCTTCCACCCAGGGTCCGTCTGGGATGCTCCCTTTCGCAGGCTCCTTTTCCTCCTGCCACGGGCCCTTCCTGCTGCTGCCGCCGTGTTTACTGGGCTCTGTTTTTGGTTTTAACAACTCCTCCCCGCTGTGTCCTGTGATCAGGCCAGCTAATAGGTCTTGTGTGCTTGCTGAATATTCTGACTTCCTCGGGAGGCCCTCCGTGGACGCCTGAGGTCCAGTGCTGACCGTGGTGGGGTCAAGTCTGTGTTAAGGGGGAGGTCCAGACACAGGGTGGCTCAGAGACCGGTGAGTAGGTCCTGTCTGAGGAGCTGTGCGTGTATGTGAGGGTGTGCGCGTGGGTGTGAGAGGGAGACACACAAGCCATCTGCAGACAAGCATTTGCAAGAGGAGAGCAGGGACCCTGATTTGCAGACAGACTCATGCTGGCCTCTCGCTGGACTGAGGCTGACGGTGCCCGAGAGCCCTGGCCCAGGAGGAGCCCCGCCCCCTGGAAGCTGGTCAGAGCCAGCAGTGCCTGGTGAGGGGCAGCGCGTGGACACTTAGCTCTTCCCAGGCTTGGTACATGCTGGGGACGTGCCCTGGGGACCCTCCCTGCTCCCCAGTCCTGTCTGCGGTCACCTCTCCTTCCGACCTGGGCCTCGGCCTCTGGTGCCTGCCTCTCCCCTGGCTTCCCTGCTGGAGGACGGTCCCCGGGGTGCTCCAGGCTATGTCCCAGCCCCTCTCCCCGGCCAGGTGTTGAAAATGCCACCCAATCTGTAACTCTGGGAGCTGCCGGCTCCCCTCTTGTCAGCTCATCAGTTTTCCTACCCCCGAGGGCTCCAGGATTTGGCACCAGCACATTCCAGCCCTCACTCCGAACAGAGTTAAATATTGACCCTCTCTGTGGTCAGGTGGGTGATCGTAAGTCTCAGGAATGCTTCCGTCTGACCGTGTCCAGAGCAGGGTCATCGCAGAAAAAGGAAGTGGTGAATGCTTGGTCCCCCACCCCCCAGGCAGCACCCACATGTCTAGGCTTGCTTCGGGGGACTCCTTCGTGTTCATTTAGGCTTCAGCACAAGATGTTCCTGGCATTCGGGGGTCACGTCGTTTGTGTTGCTGTATCTCCCTCGGCTCCAAGCAGTATGCCTCAACTGTTACAAATGACCCTGGAGTTGTGCTGGGGACAGGCTGCTGCAAGCCAGTGTGGAGGTGCCTGGCCCTGTCATCTGAGGCCCGTCAGGACATGCTGTTAGTAATGCTGAGCTTGGTCGGTGGTTTTCTGTTGGAAGTGGCCCGGTGCCACTGTTTCTTGCATTTACACCCATTTGTCTGCGTGGGGAAGTCCTGCCTGTGGGCACCTGGCCTGTCCTGCACCAGTGAGGTTTCGCTCTTTGCTTCGGCTGCTTGGAAGCTCTGACAGACGTATGTCATGCTTTGCTTGCCCTGGGGATGGCCTCCTGATGACGAGGTCTCTTCATGGCCCTATCTGGTTCCTTTGGTGTGGTCTGAGCAGCCCGCTCATCCCTGGATACCAGGTCAGCGTGGGTCGGGTGTTGAAAGATTGTGATTTCAAGCCGCGTGGGAGGGCTGGGGAAGCTGGGCTCATCTCATCTGCAGGACTGGGTCTTCGGGGACCGCTGTCACCCTGTGCTGCCTTCCCACAGTGCTCCCCGTGGCCCGACGTGGTTTACCAGGTGAATAGTGCCTCATCCCCAAGCTACAACGGCTCACCAAACAGCTTTGGCCTCGGCGAAGGGTACGTGCACCCTCTCTCCTTGTGGTCCCTGGAGTGACCACAGGCGCGGACTCATTCCCCAGCTTCCTCTCTGGGTCTTCACTGCTCCTGTAGCCCAGCATCAGCTGGGTTTCAGGGCAGTTGACTGGTGTTCATGACCATGTTTGGCATCATGCGTACAGGTTTTCGTGCTTGATTACACTTCTAGAAAGGCCAACGGGTGGCGTGATTAAGCACCCAGCACCCACTCCCTCCCCAAGTTAAGGTGGGCCAGCCTGCCAGCTCCTGGGCCACCTCCCAGACAGCTGGGGCCTCGGGAGGTGGACGTCTGGACCCCGCAGTGGCTGGAGGGGCTTCTTAGGTCTTGCATGGTCACCGGGCAGAGGGGCTCAGCTCAGGACCTTCCCCGCCCCCCTGGGTGTCCGGCCCCGCAGCACAGGAGCAACTCCACCACTGGGCACGAGCTCTGCCGAGGCCCAGGCCGTGCCGACCCCAGGGTGGCGGAGGTGCAGGGACCAGCAGGCAGCTGCCCCTCCCATCCTCTGGTGTCACTGACGGCGCTGCCCTCCCTGGTGGTGGGAGCAGGGAGGGTGCCAGGAGGGTTTAACAGGGGCATGTGGAACACATGGGTTGTTCAGAGCCCCTGCTTGGCAGAGAACTTTACCGATGGGCAAGCCAGACAAGAACTTGATTTCCTAGGTAAGGACAGTCTTCACTGAGAAGCGGGCACAGGAAGGGCTGTTGCATTTTATTCGGGCAGTGAAAAAAAATGAAAGTGTTAGTCACTCAGTCGTGCCCGACTTTTTGTGACCCTGTGTAGCCCACCAGCCTCCTCTCTCTATGGGATTCTCCAGGCAAGAATACTGGAGTGGGTTGCCATGCCCTTCTTCGGGGGATCTTCCCAACCCAGGAATCGAACCCAGGTCTCCTGCACTGCAGGCAGATTCTTAACTCTGCGCCTCTCTGGGGGCAGATTCCTTCACTTCCTGCAGCCTCAGTTTCCCTACTTCCAGGGGAGTATGAATTCCACACTCGGTCAGGGGAATATGTGTAGAGTCCTGGTACCCCCAGACCCAGATCACCTGTATCTACAGTCACTGGTGACTGGCCTAGGAATCCTTGCTGCAAAGGTCTTTCCTTTTTTCCTTATTGTGGTACAGTGGGCTTTCCAGGTGGCGCTAGTGGTAAAGAACCTGCCTGCCAGTGCAGGAGACATAAGAGGTGTGGGTTCGATCCGTGGGTCAGGAAGATTCTCCTGGAGGAGGGCATGGCAACCCATTCCAGTATTCTTGCCTGGAGAATCCCATGGACAAAGGAGTCTGGCGGGCTACAGTCCATGGGGTCGCAGAGTCAGACGTGACTGAAGCAACTTAGCATACACACATGCTCACGCACACACACGCACACACACATACATACACACATGCACACGCACACACGCATGCACACACACACATACACGTGCACACACAAATACACACACATACACACACACGCACACACAATGTAAATTTTATTGTTTGAACAATTTTAAGTGGCCAGGCCAGTGACACCAGGTCCACTCACATTGTAGTATTGCCACTGTCCATCTGGAAGGGTCATCTCTGACTGTCTTTCTCTTGGCTTAAAAGCCCAGGTGTTTAGGTCTCTGCCTCCCTTTGGGGGAAAGCCGTGAGAAAGCTTTTCTCCCGGTGGATGCCAAACTGTGGGTGCTGTTGCTGCAGAATGGTTCTCCAGGGCTTCCTCTGCCCTCTCCTGGGTGTGGCTGGCCCTTTGCCATCTTAGCACCAAGTCCCTGTGAGGCTCGAGGCCCTAGGTCAGTCTGCCCTTCCCTCTGACTGGGGCTCGGAGTGGGGACCATGAAATCTGGCCAAAACAAGCCCGGAGCCTTAGAGCAGGGATGGGGGTGTGTAGCTCATCAGAACCCTGTCCACACCAGAAGCTCTGTTAAGAATTTCCAGGGACGGAGCAGGGCTCCTGCTTGGGTTTTTCTCGAGGCCCCGCTTCGTTTCCAGTGAGCCCCAGAGCCGAGGGGCGGGAAGGGCAGGCCAGCAAGGAGCATCCTGGCTGCTCACCGCCTCTCCTCTTCCTTTGCAGCAACAGCTCCCCGACCCACCCGGTGGAGGCCCTGCCCGTGGGCAGCGATGTAAGTGAGTGCGGTGGGGCGCTGGCTGCCCGCTCCCGCGGGGGAGAGCGAGCGCCCCCTCAAGGCCTGTGCTCTCTGCCCGCAGCATCTGCTCCCCTCGGCCTCCATGCAGGACGCCCAGCAGTGGCTCCACCGCAACAGGTTCTCCCAGTTCTGCCGGCTCTTCGCCAGCTTCTCGGGTGAGCATCTCTGAACGGTGCGCAGGACCTACCGCGGTCTCGGAACATTCAGCATGGGCCCTGGGCGCCCAGTGGCTGTGGTCTGTCCTGGGGACACAGAGGCGTGTGGTCACTCACGTGTGCTGGCCTTGGGCCCAGGGCTCGATGGGCAGGCCTGCCCTTGGGGTGTCTGCCTCCTCAGGGCTTGAAGGGAGGACCATCTGGGAGCTTTTTCAAGCTGCTCCTTGCCAGTGGGGTCGGCTACGTGTCTCCTGGAGGGACCCCTTAGCCAAGAAGGCCAGGGGGTACTCAGCAAGCCTCCTGGCCTCTTCCTCCCAAATGCCGTTCATCACGCTGTCGCCAGGTAAGCCGTGTGGGAGGTTGTGGCGCATCCAAGGTGAGAGGGGAAAGCTGGCTCTTCCTTCTTTAAAGGCTTTTCAAGCTCTTGCTGATGAGCCCATCAGACAGCAGCCCTGAGCTGGCGGTGGTGGAGGACAGGGAAACTGAGCCATGAACCTTGCCCCGGGCAGTCCAGAGTGACAGGGAGTCGGTGTTGGCTGGAACCAGAGGAGTGGCTGCCAAGGACATCTGTGGTAGCAGGAGGGAAACAGCACCCCAACAGTCGTCTTTGAGCCCACTTCTTCTTGGCACATCCTTTGTGCTGGGGGTGGACGGGATGAGGGTGGTCAGGCAGAGACTCCAGCCTCGGGCAGCTCTGAGTTGGTGCAGAGGTGTAAACTGCCCGTCTCAATGCACTGTGACCCTTCTGTGATGGGTAGGCTTGGAGGAGGGACTTGGGAGACTGGGAGGGAGGCGGGCCAAGGGCGCCTGCACCTTAAGCAAGGTGTAGTGTAGACCTCGTGGAGGAGGTGTCTTTGAGGAAATCCTAGAAAGCGTGCGAGTCAAGTTTGTGTGTGTGTGGGGGGGGTGGAGCGGTGATGAGCTTTCCAAGCAGAGGGCAAGTGTAAGTTTCCAGTGTGGCCACAGAGCCGAGGGCCCAGGTGATGGGGTTGAGTCGGTCAGACAGGAGGTGAGGTCAGAGAGGTGCCCAGGGACCTTGGTGCAACAGTGTGAGGGCGTGGCTTTTATTTCCTATGGAAGGGGAGCCAGTGTGACTGCAGAAGTGTACCCCAAACTGTACCTTAACTGTGGCAGGGAAACGGGGTAGATACTGTAACTCTGGACCACGTGGCTGTTGGCCAGGTTTTAGCAGAAGGCTGATGTCACTCTTGTACCTTGGAGAGTCCACGTGAGCTCAAGGCTCTTGGGGGCTGTTTGGTCTTTGAGGAAAGGACCATGTCCACTGATTATGATCACCCCAAACTGGGAGCACCCGTGATGCCCATCAGCAGAGAGAGGGTACAGGCATTGTATTCATGTCATGAGTACTATCTAAACGTGTGCATGAATGATTCATACTGCCTGCAATACAGATGAACCTTAAACGGAACTTGGAGGGAGAGTCAGACTGAGAAAAGTGCAGTTTCCAGTTCTGTTCACGTGAGTGCCATGTGAACGGAAAGCTGAGTGAAGCCCCTATGTGTGTGAGCAATCAGGACAGCAGTTTCCCAGAGGTGGGGAGAGGGGTAGAAGCTGGCACAAGGGGTGTATGAGCTGGTGGGAATGTCCTGCATCTTGATCCGGGTGCCAGGTGCATGGGTGTCTGGGTGTGCAGGCTCCCCGGCAGCCTCCAGAGAGCCACGAGTTTCTGCCTGCAGGCAGGTACACACATGATCAGTGCCATGTGCTGATAAGATACATCATGGACAGTGATGCTAATAAAAGGCCCAGAGGGAGGGTCAGGCCCAGGTAGAGAGGATGACTAACCAGCAAAGGCCTGTCAGTTCCGCTGAGTTTGTGAACCCCGTTGTCGAGTTCTGACACCTCTTGGGCTATGATCTGATGTTGTTTAGCTCTTGCCGTTTCTCTCTGTGGGGCACCCATGCCTCCTGAGACGGAGGCTGGCTCTTCCCTGCCCTGGGGTCGGCAGGGGAGGTGGCCGTGTAACAGCCTCAGGCCTCGGTCACCGTGTAACAGGCCAGCCCCATTTACCTGCCCAGGCGCTGACCTGCTCAAGATGTCCCGAGACGACTTGGTCCAGATCTGTGGCCCTGCAGACGGGATCCGGCTCTTCAATGCCATCAAAGGCAGGTAGGTGTTAGTTCTCACTGGAGGCAGGGTATGGCTGGTGGCCTGCATCTCTCAGCCCCTTGGACACCTGGTGGGCTAGCTAGTGGGATCTGGGCTCCTCTGGGGGTGAGTGCAGGAGGAGGTGCCAGGAGCGGGGTGGGGGCCAGAGCCCGTGCTGGAGAGGGTGAGTTGCCCTGGCTTGCAACCCACCCTGCCTAGAGGCCCACTCCCTCTGGAGAGAGGTGGTCTCTGAGTCTCCACCTCTTGGCTGTGGGTTCTGAGATGCCTGCCCCGTCCTCCCAGTGCAGGGGGCCGGGGGCAGGTGTGGATGGAGTGGTCTAAATAGTCACACATGGACAATACTGCTCTGAGAGTGAGAGGGTGTGTCTGGGTTTGAATCCCACATCTGCCTCTTAGGGACTTGGCAACTGGGCCAAGCCCTTAACCCCCGTGAACCTCAATTTCCTCATCTGTACAATGAGGGACAGTGGTCCTGGCTCCCCCATAGATGTGTGAGGATGCAGTGAGCTCAGAGTAAGCCGAAGAATGCATTTGCTCTGATTATCACCCTGAAGAACCTCGTATCTTCAGATTGGTTCTGTGGGCAGAGCCCACTCTGCAAGTTGCAGGTCCTAGGTGGGGGTTGGGGGGTTGGCCCATCCCCTGGTCTCTATCCAGCAAGTCTGCTTGAAGCTGTCAGGGTTCACCTGGATGGGATTCTCTCCCTGACAGCTCCTTCCTCAGAGGAGGAAGGCACGCTGTAGCCCCATAACCTTCTTTCTTCCCCCAAGTCCCTTCTACTGTTCTCTCCACCCTGTGTTCTGGAACATTCTGGAATAACGAGCTCGGTCCCCCTTGCCTGCCCCATGACTTTCTTTCCTCCCGCCAGGAACGTGAGGCCGAAGATGACCATTTACGTCTGCCAGGAGCTGGAGCAGAGCCGCGTGCCCCTGCAGCAGAAGCGGGACGGTGGTGGAGACCCCAACCTCTGTGGTGAGTGGTGGGGAGCCCCTCCCCGGGCTGGTGAGAGGGCAGCAAAGCCACAGGGAGAGGCCTGTGGCTGAGAGCGTCTCCCCTGATCCGCCTCGCATGCAGGATGGGTTCTGCTGTGCTTCCTCCTGGGACTGAAATGTGTAAGGTGGCGATCATCCCTGAGAAGGTCTTGTCGCATGTACTGCTGTCCCACCTGGGGAAACAGGCCTGGAGCGGAGATGTGGCCCCGATGTCACCGAGCTGCTCAGGGGAGAACTGGGAGCCGGGCTTTCTGGCTCCCTGGCTGGTGACGGGTGCCGCCTAACGGGTGTACTCCCAGGAGTGTGCCCCCCTGTGCTCCCGCAGCTGGGTGAGGCTTTCCCATTTGGCTTGGCTACTGCCCGCGGGGGTCTTAGAGCACCTCCAGGGCACGTGGTTCTCTGGGGCTAGCAGTTTTCAGCACCTTGTTTCTGAGCATCTTTAAGCGCTGAGTCTGACAAGCTGTCCGGCTCCCCCCGCGTGGTCTGGACTCTGCATGGTCCGCAGTGAGAGCCCCCTGCCCCCCACCCCACTCTGCCACATGCCCCTCCAGATCCGCAAGGGACCCAACGCCCCAAAAGACAGGGGCCACTCGGGGTTTGCTGTGGGGGAAACTGAGGCACACAGGCCGCCCTGAGAGGCCAGTGTCTAGTGGCAGAGGCAGGACCCGAATATCCGGCCCCTGGCAGCTGGCGCCCAGGGCTGGGACGTGTGTGCCGGTGTCCAGCCCTCCGCCTGCAGTCGGTCTGGGAAGGACAGTGCCTGGCCTCACGGTTTCTTGTGCACGTGGAAAAAGCAGGCAGGCGCCCCAGCCCACACCCCAAGGCTCAGAGGTCTGCAGAGGGCCAAGGGCTGGCTTCCCGGGGGTGGCAGCTTCAGGATTTGAGCTTAGGCTGACCCACTTGAGGGCCTCTTGTTGCCTCACTCGAGAAACAAGATGAGAGGAGTTCTGAGTAGTGGGTGGCTGGCTGTGCGCTGTTCAGAGCAGTACTGGTCACCTCCACATTCCTCCAGGGGCAGGAAAGGCCAGAGATGAAAGGTTACAGCCACAGGGCTAAACTGGAATCCCTCTGGTTCTTTGATGCCCACAGTCCGATTTATTTGAGGAGTAAAATAAGAAAAAGTGGAACTAGCTCTGAAAAGTTGGGGTGTGGGGGGAAAGTATAATGAGAATTCTGTTATAAAAAGGAATCTTGGAGCAGAGATTCTGGGATTCTTACCTGGTTAGTTCAGGAAGAAACATTACCCAATGAACACGTTCTGTGAGCGGTGACTGAGCAGGGGTCAGCATGCAAAATCCTGGGAAGGCGAGCCTGTATGTGGCCGGAACCCTGTGGCTTCTGCAACTTCCTTCAAGGGGAGCCGCTGTGTGTGTGCACGTGCGTGTCCATGACCTTTTAGGATACGGAGCTGCCAATCACATTTGTGGAGCCGAGGGTTTCTTCCTTTAGTTGAGGGAGGCATTTGGTCGCCTGTTTAATCCAGCTGTGTCTTATTTTTTGAGGGACTTGAGGCCCCTGAGCATTGAGGTCTGCCCCTCTTCCCCCATCACCCATGGGGTTTGCTCCTCCCTAGCTGGTTTGCGTGTTGCTACCAGCCCCATGGTCACTGTTATCCCAGCTGTCTGGTGACGCTCCTGGCGCCACCCCCTCACCCTTCTGGGTCACGGTGCTCCATCCGGGTATTGTTAGTGCTGTGGAGGAGGGCGGGGGCCAGCGCCTCTCTCTTCTGCTGTGTCAGGTAGCAGTTATCCAATGGAAGGGAAGGAACGCAGACACGGGATTTCCTCCACCTGGCCATGGTAGGGTACCCAGCAGCCCACACCTCAGAATCTCTGGAAGTCTCTAAAAAATGCAGGTTTCAGCCAGCTGTTCCCCTTCCAGCCTCTACCCCCAAACGAGACAGGAATCCTGGGGTCCAGGGTGGATCTAAGGATTCTCCATTTTACACGAATTCCCCAGGAGAGGCTGAAACAGAGATAAAGAACACAGTTTGGCATCTTTTCACCTGGCGCAGGGCCGCACAGGGGCCTTGTGGCTTCCAGAGATGCCCCCAGGACAACCAGATCTGAGAGTCCATCTGGGCTGGTTCTTGGTTCGAGGGGGTGAGGGGGGGAGTTGGCAGGTGGGCTCCTTTGAAAGCAGACGCTTGTTCTATAGAAGGACCTGTCCTCCGCCCTCCAGTGTACCACGCCATCTTCCTGGAGGAGCTGACCACCTTGGAGCTGATCGAGAAGATCGCCAACCTCTACAGCATCTCGCCGCAGCACATCCACCGGGTGTACCGCCAGGGCCCCACGGGCATCCACGTGCTGGTCAGCAACGAGGTGAGCGCGGGGGCCCTGCCCCGCGGAGCCGGCCTGGGGCTCTGGGCAGGCGCAGGACCACGCCCAGCAGGGCTTGGGGGTGACTTTAGCCTGAAGATGGGGTTCATCCGCCTGCCGCCTGCTCTCAGCAGTAGGGTCTGTCGGGAGAGCCTGGAGAGGGGTCTGAGGCCAGGACCAGGCATGGCATAGCTGTCTCCCCTCCACCGCAGAGACTGCACCCCTGCCTCAGGACGCTGCAGTCATGGCAGTGTGGACACAGGTGTTCATCGGGGCAGGCGGCAGGCGCTGGGGGAGGTGAGATGGGCTGGGTTGATAAGATGACGTGGCACTTAGGTAACAGAAGCGTCCTGTGCTGAGTGGTGAAGGTGCCACAGCCTTCCGGGGTCTGTCCCTGGCCACACAAGCCTCTGCAGGGCCCAGGCAGCCCCTGAGAGAGGACACAGTGCCCCAGAGTGATCAGATTCCACTGCTGGCTCCAGCAGGGCGGGGTCATCAAACGGGTTTGCTGATGCCGCTCAGCATTCCTGCATGTTGTAGAACAGAAGCGTCTGAGTTTGTCCTATGCTGGACCCTCTCTCTTAATAATAATGTTGATGAGGAGTGTTAGCATTTCGGCAGTGCTCACGATGTGTGTGCAGCCTTCTAAGGGACTCATTTAGTCCTGCCAGCCTCCCTGTGAGGTGGGTGCTGTCCTGAGCCCATTTCACAAATAGGAAGCAGGCACAGAGAGGTTGCATAATTGGCCCCGGGGTGGGCAGCTCTTAAGAGCTCAGGCTGTGGTAGAAACACAGGTGGCCCAGAGCAGCAGAGTTCGAGCTTTGAGACGGCAGGCTCTCTGACCACTCCTGAAATGAGGCCTCTGCGCAGAGCTGTGCTGATGGGACCAGGGGCAGAACCCCAGCCCAGCCTGCAGCAGACCCTCTACCCACTCACGGGAAACCTGCTGAGGGTGATGGAGAAAACAGTCCAGGAACAGTGGTCAGGAGAAGGTGTGCTTTGGAATTGAGCTGAAGTCTCCGCCTAGACTGGCTCCTCCTAGCCAGGTGACCTTGGGCAAATCTATGTAGTGTCTTTGAGCCTCAGTTTCCATGTCTCCATAATGGGGATAATTCTACCCAAAGAGCAGGTTGTAGTAAGGATAAAATGAAAAACAGTGGCAGGTACCAGAAGATGCTAAATTAGCTAATTAGGTAAGCATTTGTTTTTTGGGGGGGAACAAAGTGTTGCAGAGAGAGCTTTAAATCCGAGAACATATAACGTGTAAGGCTTTTAATGATCTGCATGTTTCATGAACTGTCATCAGCAGTAGCATTACTAATGTTGTCATCATGACTGCCCGAGCTCCCTACACAGGAGTCCTGAGTCCCCTGTTTCATGGGAGTTTCATCCTGGGAGTGGACACAGTGATATTTTCCTTCCTTTTTAATTAGAAAGTAATTCACAATTTGTGTAAGAAATCAGGCAGCATAAACTAGAAGAAGGCAAGCATGAGAGGCCCTTTTCTTCCCCTCTCTCTTTTCCTTGAAGAGTTTAGATTAGATGTGATGTGATCATGGAGGATAATTTTGTGTCTCTGTCGCTTGCCAGAGTGTGTGTAGGTATGGGTTTTTAAAACACACACCGAGGATCCATTCGAACAAGGGACTTGATCTGTAACTGGTTATTTTTGTCGTCAGCTCAGAATTGCTTTCACATCATCACATTCAAATCTAGGGTAGTTGTTCTTCAGCCCCCATCTCGTGGATAAAGCACACGAAGCCCAGAGCTACTGGCCTGAGCACGAACTTCAGAAGAGCCAGGAAGGTTAGAGCGCCCTGAGCATCAGGCAGTGGTCTGATCTCACACACAGCACATTTCTATCGTGAAGACAAAAGCCAAGAATTCATGGAACCCTTGCAATTTCACCAGTCCCTCAAGGGGGTTCCTTCCCCAGCCTGCCCCATGCCTCCCCAGAGCAGGCAGTTAAGCCAGTGAAGCAGAGAACAGACCTCAACGCCACCTCCGCTAAGTAGGTGACTCTAATTCCTCCGAAGTCCCCTTGCCTCTTAACCTCGAATCAATTGGAAACCTTTGGTTCTTAATTGCCCGAAGCACTGGAGGCAGCCCGGCCAGTCGCACAGCCGGCCCCTGGGGTGCAAGGGCACTTCATTAAACAAGGCGGTTACTGATTAAGCCCGTGTGGGCCCTGCGTCAGGTTTGGCAGGCTCCAGTGGTGGGGCTGCCAAGAGTCCCCGAAGGAATGGGCCGGCAGCACAGCGTAAATGTACTTCACGCGTCATTAGGCCTGGGGGAGGGGCAGGGGTCGACAGGTGGATGGATGTGCAGGATTTGGGGCCGTCAGCCAGAGCAGGCAATAAAATGTAGGTTGCACTTTTTAATTGGTAAAGGGGTTTTGCTGTCCTGTGGGCCAGTGTGTGTGTTGTGGTATGTTTAGGTAGGTGTGTGTATTTTTCATATTCCTTAAATGTGTATTGTGAAATATAGCATACATATTTAGAGTATAGGAAGCTCATTTGTAGAGTTTAAAGAATAAAATACTCAATACTGCACTCAGGTTAGTGCAGTGTTGTTAGAAGCCCCTTTGTGAACTAATTCCACATTCCCCTCCACATACTGGTCTGAATTTTCATATTAGTGGAATAGGAGTGTATTCTTCAGGACTTACGGTTTGTGGTTCATGCACTTGGAGGGGTATTGCTCGGGGTCACTGGCCCTGCTGAGTGCCCGGCTGTGATGAGGTCACAGCTTGTTGCTGCTGCTTCTCCTACTGAGGGACAGGAGGCTGCTTTTAGCTTTCTCTCATACACACAGTGCTGTTCTCAGCATCCTTAGATGGGCTTTGTGTGTGTGTGTGCAGAAGGTTGGCTGGGGCACCCACCTGTAGGAGAGATATGTGTGGTCCTCTGTGCTGGCTCCTGTGGACAGTCCTAGAAAGCAACTGTCTGGATGGAGGCCCCACCAGAGAGGATGCCAGCTCCTATTGCTCTGCATCCTGGTTATATATATATTTTTATCAGAACAGCTTCATTTTACAGACTGAGCCTTGGACAAGTTTTCTAGTCCAAGGTCACTGGGCTATTAATTAAAGTTCCAGAGAGAGGGGGCTGGTGAATCATTCGGTTCCTGCCACAGGGAACTGAACACATGATGTTGTGTTAGTTTCAGGTATATAGCACAGTGATTTCAGTTATACATCTGTGTGTGTGTGTGTGTGTGTGTGTGTGTGTGTACACCTGTGCACTCAGTCGTGTCCGACTCTTTGCAACCCCATGGACTGTAGCCCACCAGTCTCCTTTGTCCATGGAATTTTCCGGGCAAGAATACTAGAGTGGGTTGCACTTCCGTCTCCAGAGGATCTCCCCAACTCAGGGATCAAATCCGCATCTCTTGTGTGTCCTGCACTGGTGGGCGAGTTCTGTACCAGCTGAGCCCCATACGTTAATAGACACTCTTTTCCAGAGTCTTTCCGTTGTAGGTTATTATGAGATATTGAATGTAGTTCCCGGTGTAAAGCACTTCAGTTTTTTATCTGGTGCTGTTTTATACACATCTGCTCCTGTGATGGAGAAGGGAATGGCAACCCACTCCAGTACTCTTGCCTGGAGAATCCCATGGACGGAGGAGCCTGGTGGGCTGCTGTCTTTGGGGTCGCACAGAGTCGGACACGACTGAAGCGACTTAGCAGCAGCAGCAGCTCCTGTAATGTGTCCTGCAGAGGGATGGGAAGACCCCATCACTCAGAAAATTCAAAAGCAAAAGAAAATCAGTAACAATTGAGTCTCGTATGAAATGTTGACATTTTAATTCCCTTCCAGGCTTCTTCTGTCCTTTGCATTCAGTTTTTTGTTACTCGAAACTATAATTGCAGGACTTCCCCTGGTGGTCCAGTGGCTAAGACTCTGCACTCCCAGTGCAGGGGGCCTGGGTTCAATCCCTGATCAGGGAACTAGATCCCACATGCCACAGCCAAGAGTTTGCATGCTGCAACTAAAAAAGATCCTACATGGCACCACTAAGACCCCATGCAGCCAAATAAATTTAAAAAAAGCAAACAACTATAATTGCTCTGTCCATTGACTCTGCATCATATTTCCTCCACACAACTGTCTTCCTGTGTGTGTGTCAGTGCGGCACCTGTTGTTTCTGAGGGTTGTGAGTGGCTGGGCTCCGCGTCACTGAGGCTTTTCATTCTCAGAACTTGTTGTTGAAGTGACATGGTCTCTCTTTTGCCTTTCAGATGGTGCAGAATTTCCAAGATGAATCCTGTTTCATCCTCAGTACCTTAAAAGGTAAAACCCACTGCTCCCCGCCCTCTCTTATTTAATTAAAGGATGTTGGCTTCACCCCCTGGGTTAACTGGGTGAGGGGGGAGCAGGCTGGTGAGTGGGGCTGGCATGGGGAAACGTCCTCCGGGGAAAATAAACACACAGTTCCCGGGAAACTCAGCCTTGGAAGCGTGTGGCCTGGAGAGGTGGGCCCCAAGGTCGCTTTGAAGGGGACTCTTGGACATTCACTGTGTGCTCCACGAACCAGTGCCGAGGAGAAGTGACACGTTCGAGTTGCTCTGAAGTAGGAGTCTGGGACTTGCCTGAGGGTCCAGGGGCTCAGACTCTGCCCTTCCAGTGCAGGGGGCATGGGTTCAATCCCCGGGCAGGGTCAGGGAGCCAAGAGCGCACATGCGGCATGGCCGGAAAAAGAAACAAGGAACCCAGCGTGGGGTTGCAGGAGGAGCAGGCGCGGAACTCAGTTGCACCTGAGCCTCCAGGCCCCACAGATTGGGAACCTGGGGCTGTGTGTGGAGGCGGGGGGGACATGAAGGGCCCGCCGAGGAAGGGGTCTGAGAAGGAGCTCCTCTACCAGGAGAAAGGGGAGACCAGCTGTGACCCCCTCCCCGCAACCCCCATAGGGCTGGGGCAGGTGAGTGCGCGGAGTTATACGGGAATGAAAGCCCCTCACTGGGCCATAGACCCTGGACCGTGACAGGGACAGTCTCCTCCCCTTGCTCTCTGGATCCAGCCGCCAAGAGCCTTCAGAGACCCGGGCGGCCGTCAAACCCAGGGCCTCCTCACCCACGGGCCCTCTAGTCCCTGGGTGTCGGGCTGTGGTGGCAAGCCCGCGATCAAAAAGAAGCGCAGCAAAGCACCTGAGCAGGTGTGCGTTGGGATTGCTGCTGTTATCTTTGTGCGGTCTTACTTTGGTGGCCTCTGCCAGCATCCACGGCAGAGCATCTGCTGGTACCCCAGTCTCACGGCTCCCAGAGACTGCCACGCCTGCCTTTCTTCCCTTAAAACCTCAGTGTTTATCTCTTGCAGCCGAGAGCAACGACGGCTACCATGTCATCCTGAAATGCGGCCTCTGAGCAGATGTAGAGTGGGCAGCTGCCTCCCACCACCAGCCCCACGGACCCCCTTGGATGTAGATATCACACCCCTGGAAGCTGTGGCAAGGAGGGGCCTGGCCCGGCCCGTGAAAGCCACAGACCTGCGGACGCTGCGGGTCTGGAGGGCAGAACGCCAGCAGCTCCTCTCTCCCCCACCTCAGCCCCCAGCTTTGGGACAGTTCCCTGTTCCTTTTCTTGGTCCTTCCATCTGAAAAGGCCAGCGGGAGCCATCTGCGCTGAAACCTCTTGCTCCCCTGGCCGGAGTCTGGTTCACCAAGTACCCGGGTGCCGCTGTGCGGGTTCTTTCCGCCCGTTCTCCTGCCTCCAGAGAAGGCTCTGCCTCTCTCGCAGGCCTTCACCCTCTTCTCTGCTGACTGGCTGGGTCCCTGGGCGGCTGACTACCTGGGCATGGTTCGAGACGGTCCTGTCTCCATGTGGGTTTCCCGTCTTGGTGATCCTGGTGAGCGTCTGTCCTTCCTGTTCCTGGATGGCTTGATGGGTGTTGGGTTGACTCTGCCTTCTGGTTCTTTTCACATTGACCTTGATTCTAAGTGTCTGCTGCTGCTCACAGCCCAGAGGGGGCCTTGCGTTTCTCCATTGCTGGGGTATACACTCCGGAGCCACCCACAGCTGGTTCTAAGCCCTTGGGGAGGAGAGGATGGGGCTGAGAAGACTATTTTTAGGCACATTTTCCAGTACTCTTGCCTGGAAAATCCCATGGACAGAGGAGCCTGGTAGGCTGCAGTCCATGGGGTCGAAAAGAGTCAGACATGACTGAGCGACTTCACTTTGACTTTTCACTTTTATGCACTGGAGAAGGAAATGGCAACCCACTCTAGTGTTCTTGCCTGGAGAATCCCAGGGATGGGGTCACACAGAGTCGGACACGACTGAAGTGACTTAGCAGTAGCAGTAGTAATCATGAATATAAAAAGGAAGAGAACCAAATGCTTCCTCTTGGGCTTTTTTTGGGTGTGAGTTTATTTCCTAAGCAGTTGTGGGTAGAGGAGGACTAGAAAGTGAACATCCTGTTGCAGGATCATATGACCTTGACCATCCTGATGCCAAGTCCTCTTGGATGGAATCACCAAATCCCATTTAGAGAGGACCACTAACCTTCCCAAGCTCCCTAGGGACGTTGTATTTTCTGGGAGGGCTCCCCTTTGAAGGTCTCTCTTTTTTCATTTGTAGAGGCTGTGTTTGGGCACTTCTCCTGCGTTAGAGTGGTTGGATCACCTTTCTTAGATAGTTGATAGACTCAGGAACTAGCGTCAGTCTCTGTTACTCGGGACCCTGTGATCTGTGTTGCTAACGTAGGTTCATCTAACAGACATGGTGAGCACTGGGACCATCGTGATCGGGCGATAACGTAGATTTGTCATCTAAACCAGAGCCCTGGTAGTCATACTGCTTGGACCGCAGGTGTGACGTAAGGACAGGCTTCTCATTCCCTTTCCATTTGGGGCTGCATGTGGCAGCCTTCTTGAGATATAGTTCACACACTATACAGTTTACCTATTTATAGTGTACAGTTCTGTGATTTTTTTTTTTTTTAGTCAATTCACAGGATCACCACAATCAATTTTAGAACATTTTCATCACCCAAGACATCTCATGTATATGGAATCATACAATATGTGGTCTTTCATGGTCTTGTTTTTTCACTTAGCATAGTGTTTTCTAGGGTCATCCATATTGAACATGTATCAGTACTTTGGTCTTTTTATAGCTTAATAATATTTCATTCCATGGGTGGACTGCATTTGTTTATCCATCCATCACTTGATGGATATTTGAGCTGTTTCTGTCTTGGGGCTGTTATGAACAGTGCTGCTATGAAGTATTTGTACACGGTTTGGTGTGTTTTCTTTTAGGAATATACATATGACTGGAATTGCTGGGTCATTTAGTAACTCCATATTTAACTTTTTGAGGAACTGCCGGACTGTTTTCCAAAGCAGCTGCATCATTTTACATTCCTATCAGCAGTGTCTGAGGGTTCTAGTTTTCCTCCGTCCTCACCAACACTTGCTAGTATCTGTCATTTTGATGATAACATCCCAATGTGTGTGAAGTGGTGTCTCATTGGAGTTTCAATTTGCATCTCCCTGATGGCTAATGATGTTGAGCATTTTTTCATGTGCTTACTGACCATTTGTATATCTTCTTTGGAGAAATGTATATTCATATCCTTTGCCTATTTGCAGTTGGCTTATTTGTCTTTTTATTATTGAGTTGTGGGAGTTCTTTGTATAGTTTAGACGCAGGCCCTTTGTCAGATATATGAGGTGTCAAACTGTTCTCCACTTCTGCAGGTTGTCTTCACTCTTACGATGTCCTTTGAGGGACAAAGGTTTTTAATGTTGATGAGCTCTAAGATACCATTTTTCTCTTGTTGCTTGTACTTTTGATGTCATATCTAAGAAACTATTGCCTAATCTAGGGTCAAGAAGATTTATGTTTTCTTCCAATAATTTTTACAGTTTTAGCTCTCCAGTAGTCTTTGATTAATTTTCAGTTAATTTGTATTTATGATGTGAAGGATGGGTCCAACTTCATTCTCTTGCATGTAGATATTCAGCTGTCCCAGCATCAATTGAAAACACTATAGGGGATCCCCATAGAATTGTCTTCATACCCTTGATCGTGGCCCCCTAATTCTTGCTGGATCTCTTTCCCTGAGACATGGGACTGTCATTAGGATGCTCAGCCCGTGTTTGGCTCCACCAGTTTTGCAGCTGGCTTTCTCTCCTTTCCTTTCTGCCTCCCCCTTTCCCTGTTTCAACAATACTGGGTGACACCACTCTCTGATGATGTACAGCCTTTCTGGGTGCGTGGCTCCACCCAGCAGTCCTAGGGGAAGGTCAGGGTCAATCATTTTCTGTTTTGAGGAAACCAAGTCACACAGAAGTAGAAAAGCTTGCCCAAGGTCCCCCAGAACCAGAACTAGATTATTGGTCTTGTGACTTTTGGCATTTTGAGATGTCTACAATTCACTAGACCCAAGAGATGCCACTAGCCAGGCCAACTGATGACAGGCTAAAATCTTAATTCCAAAAATGTGGTAGACTAATATTTAGTTTTTATTTCTTCACTCAAAATAAGAGTCCAGTCAAGATCTTAAGTTTGCTGTAGGTGGAGTCTTTCATCTGGAATGCACACTGCATCAGCTCTGCTTACCTTCTCCTAATGGTTATAGTTCAGTCTTGTAGCTTACACAGAAGTAGAGAATAACAGATACCAAAGAAGAATACACAGTCATCTGGTACCAAAATGTTTTAGCTGCCCAGTTCAGCAGCTTGTTCCTTCCACAGGCGTCGGAGGAGCTACCTGCAGGTTTTGGATTTTGTGTCTATTTTTCCATTGTATTAAAGCACAGAAGAGCTGTGCGCTTCTCACTCCTGTCCACTGTCTTTCCTGTGTGCTCTGAGTCCAGCATCTGGGCCTGCTGGGCAGGGTGGCCCCTCCCAGAACAGTCTCCTTCACCCCCGTGCGTTCTGAGCTGTGGCTGCTCCTTGGCAGCGACGAACTTTAAAAGGGACCCCCCAGGGGACAGGAGACGTGCCATGCACCAGAGCCACTGTCCTGAGCCAGAAACCCGGAGTGGAGTGCTTTTTTCTCAGTCCATCACGTTTCTTTGCTGGGTAGTTGTCTGAAAAGTTGTGATAAACCTTCTCCTGGTTACGGAATCGCCCCTTTGTAATAAAGACATGGGCTTTGGAATGGGGGAAGGGATGGTAGGCCTTTGGAAAGAGCAGGAGGGGCAGGGAGCTGGAAATCTCAGTGTAAGGTACTAAGCAAAGGTCAGATGCTGTCCTGGTGACCTCCTTCCCCGGCCAGCTTGGGCTTCTTGGGAAGAGCCATGGACCTAGAGGGACTTTCCCGGGAGCAGAGCGGAGCTGCCTGAGCAATGCGTCACAAGTCTCCAAGTCCAGGCTGGCCTCAGGGGCTGGTCTGCGTGAGTTAAGGTCTGAAAATCATTGACAAGTTAGTGAGAAAAATGGAAGAGCTTCTTTTGCTATTGTCAGTGGAGCAGAGGGAGGCAGCCCCCAGGAGCTCAGAGAAGATGGAAAAGCAAGTGACCAAGAGCCAGGAGTCCAGGCCCTCACTTGGCGTGCTTTTTCTACCTCTCTGGGTCTCACCTCCTCTCTGGGAGGCTTCCGGGGCCGTGACTGACTCAGGCGTGAGTGTGTCTGAGGGGGGCATTCCTTTTTTTCCCTCCGTCAGAGTTGCACTGTGGGTGGGTGGTGTGTACATGCATGCTTCCTGGTGGTACGCAGCGCCTCAATGCTTCTGCTTGGATTGGTGCACACTTTGCGAGGTTGCATGCATTTCAGTGTGAGACACTGCATCTTAGCCGTGTCTTTAGGAATCCAGCCTAGCTTGCAGCCAGGGTGACTTGATTCCATCCATGCTCTTAAGAGTGGGCACCAGCTGTTCCCTGCAGGTTGAGGCTGGATTCCTTGTTGGCTGGCTGTGTGCCTACGTTACAGACAGGCCTGTGTGTGCATGTTCATGGATGCACATGAGTCCCCTTCTCTGCCCCTGTATCTGCCCTGAGCGTCCTCAGCTCACCTAGGCAGAGTGGTGACTGCTGCTTCCTTTAGACCTTACGTGATGCTCCTGGTTCAGACAATGTTGATAAAACTGATTAGGGCACTGTTGCCCTAATTGTGGGGAAAGGCCCATCCTCAGTCCTGCTCTAGGGGGCAGAGCCATGCTGGGAGCTGACATCTAACCTAACCCAAAAGCAAGGCCCTCGGACTTGGCCTTACTTGCAGCCACCTCACGTTCCCTGTGTCCCCTTAGGTTGCGTATTCTGTGTGTGACGTCGCCAGTCAGGCCAGGCAGTCGGAAGTATTTGTACATCCTCTCTGATCACCTCCCGGCGCCCTTCCCTCCACTCCGTGGGGCAGAGCAGTGCAGTCCAAGACAAGCCACCCCCACCTCCTTCCCTGGGGCCGGCCTGAGAGCTCCAT